AAATTTAAGATATATTTTTTATGTATATTTCACATGTCTAAGTGTCATCTTAATTGAAGATATTTTTTTTATGTATATTTTATATGTGTTAATTCAATATATATTTTTTTATATACATTTTATATATATTAACGTATATTATTATCGAAGTAAGATATTTATGTTAAGAAGGGAAGAAAGAAGGAAGAGAAAAACTTAAGAAAGATAATTAAAAAGAAAATGAATGGAACAAATTTAGAAAATGTATTGGCTTCGGCAGATTTTTGTACAAAGAATTATTGACTTTCCATTCAAATTGCTTATGTTTAGAGATTAATAATTAATATTTCTATTCTAATGGAACTGTGTGCTACAAATATAAATATTTTTCTGCCACAACTGTAATATTAAATTTCATGCTACGAATTTGTTATATTTCTTTTAAATTGTGACAAATATGTAAAGTTCCCTAACTTTTTTATTTGAAGAGATTTGCACGTGATACTCTTTTGCTGAAAGTTTGGATGCAAATCTTTGCCGATTCAAGCGTTATACCGCTAGTAAGAGACTGTAATCTACGAAACAGGCTACAGTTATGGAGTTCATTCATCAATCTTGAAAGATTTAATTGTGTACCTTAGAGTTTAAATGTTTGTACGTTTAGTTATGATTTTATTTTTAATAATATAGTAGATTCCTTTAGCATTTGATTCGTGAAATATTCATATCTTTTGAGATTTTGAATTTAAATATTTTCTTACCTTTATATGCAACATTAAAAAAGAAAAAAAAATAATTTTTGGATAATTTTTGTCTATAACAGCCATATATTCAAATTCCAAATGTAGTTATAGGTGTATAACAACCATTTACTATAAAAGCCAAAAAATTTCGGAACAAACGATATTGTTATAGAGAGGTTTGATTGTAGTATTTCTTTTTTCCACTTCATGTGGGAAGCCTAATACCTTGTTTTGCGAATCTTCTAATATCAACTTATATTGAAAAGTATTTTTCTAAAAACTTTCAGTAAGAAACAATTTATGTTTGACTAATTAAATTGAAACGCACTTCTGAACAACCATTAGTGTTTGACAAACTCTTAAAAAGTACTTCTAAGTGGAGTGCTTATGGGAAGAAACTATTTTTTTGTTGATCCTCAAAAACTGCTTTTGCTTTTACTTAAAAATATTTTTTTCCTTCTAATAGCTTGACCAAACACCTTAAATTTGGATTTTTTTTAACCAATAAGAACATTTTTCGCCGAAAAGAAGCTTGGCCAAATAGGCTATTAGAGTACTAGAACTAAAGTACACAATTTCGATGTGAATCCGATAGAATTTTAAAAAAAAATCTATATATTTAAAAATTACACAGAAAAATATTACGGGTCATAATAGGTAATAAATAAAAATATTTTGAAAGAAGGAGTACTTTAATTATTTATTTTTTGCCTTCTTCCACCCAAGATTATGATAAAAAGCAAACATCCTTTCAAAACCAACAAATGATAGTCAGCTGAAATTATTAAAGCATAGACTAGCTGAACCACAAGGAGCTAATAGTAGCACACCTTTGAAAAGTGCACGCTACCACATATCATTGTCATTTTATACATTATTTTCGGATTTTCACAACCACACACATATATATTTTTCTCATAGAAAAATATAATGAGTAGAATAAAGCATCTCCTGTTCAAATTATATTAAGGTCATTTTCATCTTCTCTTTCCACCATTATTTTCCTTTCATCAGATTATTGGGAGATGAGAGAATAGGAGACATATTTATAAATTATGTCTCCTTTGGGGAAAATTACTTTATAGTATAAAGTAAAGAACCGGAGTACTATTAGGTGGAAGAAGTTGGCGATATTAAAACCAATCTTTAATGCTAAAAGTAGGAGAGGGTGCGGTGGAGGACTACAGACTATTCTTCCATTCAACCATAGCAAACAGACAATAGTTGTTTGGAAAGAAGTTTGCTAATGGATTTGCTATTCTTGAACTTAATTTGAAATAATTTTCACATAAATGCCATTAATGATATTTTTTCAAGATCCAAGTTTTATTTAGAAGAGTCAGACCTAAAGTCACAAAGAAAGAAGTTATCTAAAAAAATTTAGAATATTTCAAAATCAAACAGATCTACCAACAAATAAAAAATAATGGAAGTTGAAAAATCGCATACATATACCTATAGTAAACTAGTGCTTACTAAAGAAACTCTTACTATGTTAGAGATATAACCACAAGCGTATATTAGAGAATCTCAAGAGTGATAATTCTCAAGTAATAATATTAAAATATTATAGATTCAAATAGAATATTTTTATCCAACTAGCTTGAGATTGAGGTATTGTTATTGATTTTTAGTTTTTCTCAGCATACGAGAGGGGAAGGAGAATAGTGGAGTAAATTAGAAAAGGTAAACAATGTTCATCTCCTATATTCCTTTATCTGCTATTGCTTTGTCACAAAATACAAAATTGGAAAACATATTACTAGAATAACTACTAATTTAATACTAGCTTGTTTGGCTAAATTTCTAAAAGTAAAAAAGTGTTTTTCTTTAAAGTGCTTATATTATAAAAGTGAAGTGTTTGCCCAATATATTAGAAAAAAAATAAGTGCTTTTAGTTAGTAGTAGATATTCCTTGTTCAAAGTTGAAAAAAATAGTTTCTCATTATAAGTAATTTTTGAAAGTATGTCAAAGCATAAATTGCTGCTCCAATATCTACAAAAGTATTTTTTAAATTGTTTAGCTGAACAAAAATTGCCACTCTTGAAAAGTACCTTTTCAAATAATATTTCTAACAAAAAATACTTTTTAAAGTAAACAGATTTGAAAGTTTGGCCAACACATGTAAAAGTCGATATTAAATACTGATGAATTGGTAAAATATTAAAAGTTGACTCATTTTAGAGAATTTTTGAAATTATAATTTTAAATTGTATACACGGAAAAGATAAAAATTATGTTTTGTTGTCAATATAATTTTCAACTCCAACGTGTTATCTACCGTTTTTCTAAAATTAACTCCTCATATACTATTAGTGTTAAAATATTTACGCATTCAATGAAATCTTGCTTGATTCTAACTTGATCTTTCATTACTTTATACTTATTATTTTGTAAAGAGATTTGAATGTGTAAAATGCACTCCAAATAAAACTTAAGCTCCGTGATACATTGTCCTTTTCCACTAACGAGTGAGAAACTAGTAATTCATAATCATAAGTTGTCCTTTTAGTTTAAACGATTGAAAGAAGACGATAACAAAATTATTCCAAAAATGCTGATGCCAATACTCCTAGGATGAGTAGTCGTTTGCACAAAACGAGATGTACCCATCGAAATTGTAGTTGCTTATTCAGTGGTAGTGTACCACTGCGTGTACTCACCGCAGAATTTATTGACTCATTGCCCATCCTGCAGTTGCCAACTATCTCCCGTTCTCGCTATGCGTTGAATCCGAAGAAGCATGGACATACCCATGAATTATTGTAAGGTATTAAAATTTATAGAAGAACGAGAATAATAGTTTTAATTATTATATTTTTAGATAAAAAATTACTTTAATTTATTAGCTTTGTTGAGTCTTAAATTGAAAAAAGTCACGAATTAAATTCTATTTCATCACAATTTTTAACCATATAGATTCTCTCAAATATTTGCAAAAAAGATGTGCTACTTGAGATTCGAATCTCAAACTTTTTAGAGCAAAATCAAGCACATAATCAATACATCAATAGACAATTTATATTAAATGGTGCTATTTCTTTCTACTTATCCATTTTCTCACAGAATTAATACATATATTTAGTAAAAGAATTCGACGAAGCGTTGTCGCATGACATCGCTTCGATAAATGTGCATCCGCCTCTGCAGGGAAGAGCCGGACCACAAGGGTCAGTCATACGTAGTCTTACCCTACATTTATGCAAGATGCTGTTTTCACGACTCGAACCCGTTATCGATTTCCACGGCTTTTTCATCTGGTATTCGGCATCAGCATCATAGTCTTAAGGAGTTTATTAAAATTCGCACAACGTAAAATTTATTAAAACGAAAATACATTTTTTTCTTTCAAAAATTTCAAACTCAAAATTGCTTATTAAGGAAATCCTATTTATACCATCGCAACCTTTAATGGCAGGTGAAAATGGAAGGCAAGCTGGTTTTGGATCGTAGCAAAATTGTTTATAATAGTAATAATGTACGATTAATATAGGAGTAGTACATTACAAACGTTTTACCTTGGTTTTCTGGGAAATCCAGGCCAGGGTGGTGTGCTACAAAAATATGAAGTGGGGGCCATTCTCTCTTTATTACTATGTGCCAACTCCCACTTGTTGGTCTTTGCTGTCTTTTGCTCCCTCTTCCCCTTTTCCCAACTGACCACTTACCCCCTTTTCGCTTTTACTTACTCCCATGACTAGTGCTACTAGTAGTAGTATAGAATTTGTCATTCTTGATATAAACTCCAGTCTTTCTTTCTCTCTCTTCGCGCAATCCAGCATCTTTCTTGCATTTTTGTTCCCCCCTTTTTCTTGATTTGGTCTTGTTACTAAGTTATTAACAGAAAAACCTTTTTTTCCCGATTGTGGAATGTTTTTTTCTGTCTGTAGACAGAATATTTATCTCGTGACATAATACATGTGTGCATATATGAGAAATCAACCGGGTTGGATTCTTAAATTGTGTTCAGGATTGAGTCTTTGTTCATCCAACAAGGAGATAATTCTATTATCTTGAATTTGCCAGCTGGGTTCTTGGATGTTGACCTGAACTTTTTAAAGGAGCTTAAACTCTGTACTACTTGTTGTTTATTGTGATTTTTGGTATTGAGATTCATGCTTGGAGTGAGACAATGGAGAGGTTTATGGCCTACTTTCATTTTTCTTTAACACTTTGTTCAGAGTTTTAGTTAAGATAAGATGAAAAATCTTCTCAAGAAACTCCATTTAATGCCAAATGAATCAGTGGATTCAGAAGGGTCAACGTCATCAGCAAAGACCAAGAGATTGAGTGATGTTTCATCCCCTGATAATAACCCCTTTTCAGCTATTTCAGGATGGTTAAATTCAGTTACTACTAGGCATAATAGCCCTAGTCCTCAATCATCTTCAAATATGAGTAGAGGGAATAATAATAGAATGGAGCCTTGTGATTCTGCTAGTAGTAGTGGATTAGATGCTGCTTTAGATACTGTAAGGCGCGATTCGGAGTCCAGCAATTCGAGGGAACCTGATATAGAAGAAGAATATCAAATACAAATGGCTCTGGAGTTGAGTGCAAGGGAAGATCCTGAGGCAGTTCAGATTGAAGCTGTTAAACAGATAAGTTTAGGTTCTTGTGCCCCAGAGAATACACCAGCTGAAATTGTTGCTTATAGATATTGGGTAAGTTTGTTTTCATCTATTTGGTTGTTTCTAAATTGCTTTATTTAGCTTGCTTCCACTCTTGGCATTAATTGGCATTCAGTTCACGGTAACTAATTGAGTTGAATATGCTGCTTTTGTACCTAATTTCACCAAAAACAGGGATTCAGCATGTTAGTGAATTACTTAAAGTCTGACAATATAAATTCTTGTGTGTTGGTGATCAAGCTTGTTATACTGTTCTGGTTGGACAGCGGTTGGTTTCAGCTAAGCATTGCTGGAACAGGTGTTTAATATGCGGTTGCTGTTAAGCAAATTCAGTCTTCATTGAGCCATTATTGTCAAATAATGATAATGGTACCGACACTATGTCGCCGTTGATTGTACTTGGCATTCCTCAAGCTGTTGGTTATTGGATCATAAACCCTAATGCTGAATCAATTGCTTAGGTTTTTGCCGTTCATTCTTCTTATGGTCTCAAACTAGCTGGAGCTCAAAATTATGAAGACGTTGAAACATAACAACACGGAAGTATAATTCGATGGCATTACATGGAACAGAAGATGCCTTGACACTGAAATACTAGTACTATAGTGTGTTCTGATGCGGTGTAGTAAATATACCTGTTAAACATGGATATGTTATCATTTATCAAAAAAGGAAAAAGAAGGGAGATGTTATAGCAATACAAGAATTCATCAGGAAATTGTTACTTAAATACACAACTCCTAAATGCTGCAGTGAAGTTCATGGAAAATCTGAGAAGTAAAAGAAAACATAGTGCAGTTACTTGCTCGATGGATATATTAAAGGGTGAGCAATGAAGGAGTATAGTAAAGGGAAGTTTCAACTCATGTTTTATAGAAAACACGCTTATAATCCTGGTTTTCTTATTTCAATGCCGTTGATTTGAAAGAAGATAGAAGCACACCCTTGCTAACAATCCTGGACCACAAATTACAATTAATCAGGAAAGGACTAAAATTGTAAACCGGACGAGAGAACGTTCGGATATACTTCAATAGAAGAATCAAATCTTTCTTTTGTATTTAACATGCATTCCAGATAGGCATGCGTTGAAGTGTTATTCCCAAGTCGCATTCACCGTTAAAGGCTATTGTTCAGACACAAGTTTTTTTTTCTTCCTATTATATTGTCAGAGTGATTACCATGCACATTCCTGTTTTTTCTGTTTTCTCCGATTTTCTTGTTGCACATTTTATTAGTAACTGTAGGTGATCTGTTTTGTAATCATTTTCTTTTTAAAAAAAAATAAGTTAACACAGCCAGAGAAAAATGTTTTATAAAGCTCAGTTGTCTAATGTTTGGAGAAATTAGTTTGTGGAGTGTTTGCTCTACTGTTTGATCAACTCACGATGCTTATTTTGCAGAAAACATCCATGTTTCGATTACATATTCCTCTCTAACACACGAATTATCTCATATTATAGAGTTATGAATGCTTTACAGAATTACAATGCTCTAAGCTTTGACGACGAGATCCTGGATGGTTTTTATGATCTGTATGGGATCATGACAGAGTCCAATTCCTCAAAAATGCCCTCCCTTGTCAATCTACAAAGAACACCAGTATCAGACCAGATCACTTGGGAAGCCATCCTTGTTAATAGAGCTGCTGACTCTAAGCTGTTGAAGCTAGAACAAAAAGCTCTAGAGATGTCTGTCAAGGTCAGGTCAGAATCCATAGATTTTACAGGTGGCAATTTGGTTCAGACGCTTGCTATGCTAGTTTCTGAACACATGGGCGGTCGAGTTGGAGATCCTGACAGCATGTTAGTAGCATGGAGAAGTCTTAGTTATAATCTAAAGGCCACTTTTGGAAGCATGGTTTTGCCTCTGGGTTCTTTGACCATTGGTCTGGCTCGTCATCGTGCTTTGTTATTCAAGGTACTAAGCTCTTTTGACCTTCAAAATATTTAAAAATACACTTTTATATATACGAGTAATATATAAAACTCAGCAGTTTCATATGTAATTGTTTGGTCAAGGAAGGAGTGCTGGTTGACTATGACCTTGAGATATTTGAATTACCTTATCTTACTTAAGAAGCCTAATTTACTTTCACAGTTGTGTCACGACTGTGATGATACCCATGCTTTATCAAGCGAAGACTACATACACATTGAGAAAACTTATTAGTTTTGTAATAGAGAGCATACTATCTTAATATAAAAGATGGAGCTCATTTAGGCAGAACAATAGAAGTGTGCCATGGATACGCTATTGGACGAGTTTAGTTCAGTTTTATTTGAATGATTCTAAATCTTTGTTTGAAGTACTTGACTCAAACATGAGTTAAATCCAGTACATCCTCCCCATATGCTGTTCAGCATTCCACATCCATCGTTTCTGCTGTTGTATGCAGGTGTGCTATATCCGTCCTTCATAGAGATATCAATTCAAGTATGCTGTGCCTTAATCAAATCCGAGTTGAATCCAGTAATGTCCCCCATGTTCTGTTCAGCATTCCGCATCTATTCTTTCTGCTGTTTGTGCATATGTGATATATCTCCGTCTTTACTGGAGAATCAATGGCAAGTGTCTGCATGATATCCTTGTCACTTATCAGTAACTTTACATATCAAATATCATGTCTGTTGATCCGTTTGATGCATGATATTAACTCAGAGTATGTTTTCCCTTGTTATCTTAGGCCTTCATGGCTTTTTACAATATTGAATTTAAGAAAATGTCTTTTTTAGATCTCTTGCGTGTAAAAGATAGATCTCTCACGTGTAAAAGCAAATCTCCCATGTGTAAAAAAAGAGATGGGGTCATAAAACTAAATACAAGTTTGTAATGGGCCACAAAACTAATTGACCCGTTTTCCTTTGTCCCATGTAATTTGTTAGGCTTTATGAATATTTAACTTTATCCCCCTCATCTTCGACAGATTTGATTAAAATGAACCTTTGCTGTGTTCATTATAATTTTGAGCCAAAAAGTAATCAGGCTTCATACTGACTGTATGTTCCAGCCAAAATGACTTAAAAAGTGAAATTGCAGAAAACAGAGCTTGCATGCACTCATGTTTTTAAAGTTTAGGTTCCATACCCTCTCACTCAATAAATTTATTCCGTTACGCCTATGGCTAGCACATTCTGCCAACTTTTTCTTTATTTTGTTGAGAAGTGTTTTAGTATTGCATATCTCAATTTTGAGACTAGAAAGTCAGTATTTTTTGTTTTCAAGAGTTAAAGAATAAGAAAAGGTATGAAAGGAATTAGATCATACCAAACATTCAAGGTGGAATTCTTTTAGCTTTTCTCTTAGAAAAAAGATTCTTTCGCTCCTTGCCTTTCCCTTCTCTTAAGTAAGAAAGCTTAGATCTCCATGCCTTTGTCTTTCTCAAGTTAGATATTGTTTGTCATCTTTTTAATTATTTGAGCAATGTATTTTCGGTCAAACAAATTATATTGTTCAAATAAGCAAAGAGAATGGTAACACGTATCTCACCTAAGAAGGAAAACCAATATTTGCTTCAAAAAAATTATTTTATATCTCTGTGTGTGTGTGTGTGTCTGTGTGTGTGTACATGTCTGTATGAGTATTTTCCTTCAAACAAAGAAAATAGTAAAACATACTGAAAAAGGATCCAGAAATCCAGTAAGAAAAAATAAACTTCCTCTTAATCCAGTAAGGATCCAGAAAAAGGAAAGAAATGAAAATAGCTAAATGACATGTGGATTTGCTGCTAAATCCTGTAGCTTGTCCCAGGGACTAGTCAAGCTGGGATTCTCATGTATCTAGAACATATTATGGGGTTCACTATAGCACCTCCTTTGATAAAGGTTTTGGGTTTCACCCCATTATGTAGTTCTTAACTTCTTAAAATTGTTTATTGTTACTGCTATGATTTGTTTTTTGTCTTTATCTCTTGGCTTGTGCTGATGGTCAACCGTGCCCTTTCTTTTTGGCTATGATTTGATGTACTTCTGAAAATGTGTGCAGGTTTTGGCTGATAGTGTGGGGCTCCCTTGTCGATTAGTAAAAGGGCAAGAATACACAGGGTCAGATGAAGTTGCAATGAATTATGTAAAGATTGAAGATGGAAGGTTCCTACCATTAATCTTCTTTCTTTCTTATTCGAATTTTATAATTTCATTTGTGATTCCTATTTTTTCATAACTTAGTTGGTATACAGTCAGTTAGCATTTTCATAAGCAAGGGTATCTTAAACATTCAAGCAAGACTGCTGGATAAATCTTCTTTGGTTTTTGCTAATACGTCTCTTTTTTGACAAGTTAAATACACAACTTTTCTTTAAAGTAGTAAGGTGATCAATTTAGAACCTTTAATTTTGTTTTTTCTTTCATATATGTAGCCTTTGGGGCTTAGATTGGTGCTTTTTTTTTTTAACAATTTTATAAATACTAAAATTTTAATTTTTCCTGGAAAAAAAGTTTGTTCTAGGATATAATTACTCTTCCCGAAGTTTCCTCTTTTGTTTACAAAGTCACGTGCTTTGCAGGGAATATATTGTTGATTTGATGGCAGACCCTGGGACACTTATTCCCTCTGATACATCTGGAACACAAGTAGACTGTGAGGAATCTATCCTCTCCATCAGTCCATCTTCCAAAGATGTTGATTCTCATATGGGTGGTTCTTCTAGTAGTGGGGTTGCTTGTTCGTCAGAAGATCATTCCGAGTATGGAACGGCAGAGAGGAGATCCAGGTTCAGGGAAAGCAGCACAGGAAATGAGTCTCCATCTTCTAGTAATAATTCTGAAAAGCAGATTAAAGCTGAGAAAGGATGCAATAACTCCTCTAATGAATTTACAAAGCTTTGGACCGTGAAGAAGGAGCAAAGACAGGAAACTTCACCCGGGACTGGGCATGCAAGATCTTCTTATACACATGCAAGGTCACCTTCCTGGACTGAAGGTGTTAGCTCCCCGGCCGTACGGCGAATGAAAGTTACGGATGTTTCACAGTACATGATTGATGCTGCTAAAGAGAATCCACAGCTAGCTCAAAAGCTTCACGATGTTTTACTTGAAAGTGGGGTTGTTGCACCACCAAATCTGTTCACTGAAGTCTATACAGAGGAGTTGGATGTGTCCCCTGTGGAGGGAAAATCTGGGCCAGAGGATATGGAAAGTAAGGGGAGCGATGAGATTGAGAAAAACAAGAGTCAAGCTGATCTAGATCGTAATAGTTTCTTGCCCCCTTTGCCTTATCATGTTATGTCCAAGGGCAATCCCCGTGGGCCATTTGATAGTGGGCAGCAAGTTTCTCCACACTCTGAACTGGCTGCAGTGAAATTCACAAAAAACATGCCTGTTGCTGCTGCTGCAGCGGTAGCAGCAGCCGTGGTTGCCTCTTCAATGGTAGTTGCTGCAGCAAAGACCACGTATGGTTCAAAAGCTGATCTCCCTGTTGCAGCTGCTGTGACAGCCACAGCTGCAGCAGTGGTAGCAACAACTGCAGCTGTCACTAAGCAATATGAAAACTTGGAGCCGTCTTCTGATTCACCAGATAGTCCTGCTTTTTTCCTTAATCTAATCGACTCTGGAAGAGTTGATGGAGATGCAGATGGTGCTGTGTATGAGCAGCGGGGTAGTGGTGATCAAGTGCATGAGGCATTAGGGGTGAATTCTGAGAATGAAAGAATATCAGATAGGTCAACCGGTAATGATAGTGTTAAATCTGATGTGACACTTGATGATGTCTCAGATTGTGAGATTCCATTTGAGGATATCACCTTGGGTGAGCGTATCGGACTTGGTATTGACCTGCATTATATATTTACATCTGTAGAAGATTCTATAAAGTAGGTAAAATCTGTGTTGTGTTACATTTTCATAGTTTCACTATCTTCCTGTTGCAGGATCTTATGGAGAGGTCTATCATGGAGAATGGCACGGAACTGTAAGTTTATGTATACTTGTGCCAATTAGATTTCTTTCTTTAGTTTTAGGTTTTTCTGTAATGAATTTTTGCATTTTTTCCTTTACAAAAGTTGAGAGCTAGAATTTTCTTAATCATCTAATTATTAGATGCAAGTTGTTTATTCAACTTAGAGAGATATAGGGCATCTGAAACTTGTGGAGATTCTTAGTGGGCATTTGGACATAAGAATTGTAAAATTCCAAAATAGGGAAAAAAAAATTTCAAATGAAAATGGTATTTGAAATTTAGAGTTATGTTTGGACATGAATATAATTTTGGGTTGTTTTTGAAGTTTTGTGAGTGATTTGAGTGAAAATTTTGAAAAACAGTTTTTTGGAGTTTTTCAAATTTTCGAAAATTTCCAAAATGCATCTTCAAGTGAAAATTGAAAAATTTATGAACAAATGCTGATTTCGAAAAAAAAGTGAAATTTTTTTGGAAAAAAGGGAAAAATTTCTTATGTCCAAACGGGCTCTTAGTATGTTTAGTTTTTGAAGACTGCCAAGCTTTATCTACACTTCTGTTTTCTTGGAGATATATTTGTACCACATTAGCTTTGGAGAGTCCCAAATAGTTTATAATGCCTTAGGCTACTCCATATTCTTTGACTTGAAGTTTTGGGTTGGATCCTCATAAATTTTGAGTTGGACCCTCATATTCTTTGATAAACTATTCTCTCACGCGTGCTGAAGGGTGTTGGAGATATACAAATTTCATATCGGGTATTTAAGGGCATTCAAAGACCTTTATAAACCCTTATTAGATCCTTTATATACCTGATGTGGGATTTAGTATACTGAGGACATGAATGAATGCTCTAAGTTGGTTCAACATAGATGCGTCAGCCAAAGCTGTCGACAATAATTCAATTACAAAAAAAGATTTGCTCTTCCTGAACTTATTGAATCTTCGTACACTTTCCCCAAAATAAATAAATAAATAAATAAATAAACTAATAAGAACTGTGTCCACTATGAATTACATTTTGTTTAGCATGTCACCATTGTAATAGACGTTTTTGGAAGTTTCCTCTTCCTTTTTCTTTTTTGTAAATTTTGAATGTCCATGCCTCTTCGGGAAAATGTTCGACTGGGTCACTTTCTTCATGATTTCATGGTCACTGATAGATATTGCGGATTAGCTGATATCTTAAGTTTGGTATGGACTGTTTATTTTGTTTTAACTTCAGGTTGTTGCTAAAATATATATTTGGGTTGTTGAGTCATTCTTCAGTCTATGGGAAACCACCTCTCTACCTTCACCAGGTAGGGGTAAGGTCTGCTTAAACACAACCCTCCCCAGACCCCACTTGTGGGATTTTACTGTGTTTGTTGTTGTTGCTGTTGTTGTTGAGTCATTCTTCACTTGCGTCAACTGTAAATTGGAAAAATAGATTGCTCTTACAAGCCTTCGTGATTGTCACCAACTTAAACTAATACAAATGTGGAACTTTTTTATTTTCAGGAAGTAGCTGTGAAGAAATTCCTAGACCAAGATATAACTGGTGAATCCCTTGAAGAATTTAAGAGTGAGGTATACCGTTTCTTGTCCAACATAGACCCATTTTCCCTGGGTTTTCGGCAAATTTTGTAAATTACCATTCATGGCATTACTATCATATTCAGATATCTTTTTTTCTTCTTTTTGATGATGCATGCCTCAGAATCTTTAGAAAGCCATTGCACAATTTTGAAAAGCTAATGAATAAATGCCAAAGGAAGTTCTAATTTTCTGTAAAGATTCTAAGAACACTAAGATGGGGATACATGCCCTAGTACTATTGACTAGCTCAATTCATGCCCTAGTCACTGACTCATTATAGTCCAGCACAGGATACTGGCGGAAAGTAATGCTTGCGTTTAAGTTATAAGTATCAACTGATGGTATAAGAGAAGGACAGCCTAGTGGTGAAGACCTCAATAATAAGGTTGGGTGTTCAAGCCACCAAGGGAGCAAAGTGGGAAAGGGCCACCATTGGCTCCTGGGTAGGGGTGCTGAGAGAGGAGTTTACCATATCAAACGAAAAAAGGGTGGAATTACATTAGCAGACTAACTGATTGAATCAAGTCACCTTCGCGTTTCTCAGTTGTTTGATGATCATGTAAATATGTTCAATGATTCTGAATTTATTCCCTTGCATACTACCAATGTTTATTCAGATCTATTTTTATTTCTTTAACTGAGTTTAAATTTTTAATTTCATGCTGTCAGAAAATTGTTTGTTTTCTAAATTGATTCTTTCTTTCTTGCATATAAGTCAAAAGCTATATGAAAACATGTCCTCATGCTCGCTGTTTATTCAGCTAGATCGTTCCTCTAGGCTCTTCTTGCTTTGTAGCTCTTGGTAAGGAACTGACAGTATGTCCTAAGTAGATGATATGCACTCATTTCTTTTAACAGTTCCTCTCTATCATCCAAAGCTGGTGAAAGTTCTCTCCAGTGAGTTCAATTGTTTGACCGTTTTGCCTGATTCGAACTGTTGATGATGCAGTATCTTAAGTGATTTTACTAAATTGCTTGGCTTCTTAGCTAAGATTCTTCATAGTTTTTTGCCTCCTAGTAGGTGCAAATATATTTTGTGCATTTAACCATTTGTAATCTGTTTCTTTCACTAACAAAGTCAGTAACCATTGCTGTAATCCTGGTAACTGATATGTTATTTAGCATAAAATGAAGATCTCAATCTTACTGGAACTCAATATTGCCTTGGAAGGTGTGGATCATGAAAAGACTCCGGCATCCTAATGTAGTCCTGTTCATGGGAGCTGTTACTCGTCCTCCAAACCTTTCAATTATTACCGAGTTTCTTCATAGGTACATCAAAACACTATTATATTAAGTTTTGCAGTATTTCTTGTTGCCTTTATGAAGCTTGAAAATTTAAAATGTAATTTGTCTGTCAGCTGCGGTTTTGAGACTTAACCAATTGAATGCTTGAACTCAAATTATTTTTGGTTTGCAGAGGTAGTTTGTACAGATTAATTCATCGGCCCAACAATCAGTTGGATGAACGGAGAAGATTGAGGATGGCTCTTGATACTGTATGCTCCAGTTCTCTCTCTTTTCAACTTCTCCATTGGTTCAAACCTTCTACATTACATGGTGACTTTCTAGTGCATATGATTTATTGAACTAACAGGCTCGAGGCATGAACTATCTACACAATTGCACTCCTATGGTAGTTCATCGTGATTTAAAGTCTCCGAATCTCCTTGTGGATAAGAACTGGGTGGTGAAGGTGGAGTCCTTTAACTTTGAAACCTAGGAATGATACTGCATCGTTCAATCACTTCCCATGTAACGCATAACTATTTGTGACTCTAGGTATGTGATTTTGGGTTATCAAGAATGAAGCACAGCACCTTTCTTTCTTCAAGGTCAACTGCTGGGACGGTAAGCAGGAGGGATTTGATTCAATTACTCGGAACATGCTTCTTTCAACCTTAGTCTTTTCATTTCCCGTAGTTTCTACATTCTTTTAGCTGTCGTATCTTGCCGATATGCTTTGACATTCTCCAAAGCTTGATATTCTTCTCCGTACTGTGCTTCTTGTTTCTATTTCATTATGGTGCCTTTCTTGATGGAACTTGTAATGTTCCAGTCATGCATACAGCTAATTTTTGTACATCATTTTATATCAGCCCTTTTGTAGAAGATAGCATGCTGTTGGTCTTAAAACACTTCAGGCTTTTGGAGATGTTTTCATTGCCAAGTTTCTACTTCAAAAAGGTGGTCGTTGTGATCCATGATTCAAAATAACTTAAATTTATGGCATGTATCTAGGCTTCCAGTTACATATTTTAGTCCTTTCCAATATCATCAAAACTTAATCTTGAAGTTGTGAAAAAGGTTTTACCTTGTTACCTGGGCACATGATGAACTTGTTGCAGAAGTAGTATTCCTGCTCTTTATGTATTAGTTTTGAATGAAGTAATTAAACATATATAGTGGGAGGTTGTTCTGAAATGACATAATTTGCTTATTTCTAATGTCGTTCCACATCTTCTCTTAAACCTTGATGCATAAATATAGTTCTGTAGATTTCCATTATTTGCGGAGCTTCACATCTTATATAGTGGTTATAGTATTCATAAAGGTGGAAAAATTTATTCATATTGCATGCATTGCTGTTTGTCATAATATCATATGTAAATTTTCCCTTTCTGCTGAAATATTTCGGGAATTAGCAGTTATAATGGAATATCCTTACTGAATCTGTCAATTTCCAGAAGACATAAGTTTGCTATATTGTAATTAACTTGGACGACTCTGTAGTTAAGCTTGTGCTTGACAAAATGATAAGAGTTTTGATGGTAGAAAATTAACACTTGCAAGACGTTGGTCTTTGTTAGAATACTAGGGTATGGACTGTTGTATAGCACTTGTTTACGGTGAGTCTTCCCACATTAGTAAATTTTTACTTTTATAAAAAATACTAGGTAATGGAACTGCTGCTTTTGTGAAGTTTCTCTCAATTAAAGTTATTCATGTATTACGTATAATTTGGTACAATTCGGCAAGTTTCTGCATCATGATTCTCTGCAAGAGTTTGATGCATTATAATTTATACATTTGACTCTTGTTGCTGGCTTTACTCGGTCCTTCTGCATCAACTACCAATCTGCTGCATCTTTTTGTTTTCAGGCCGAGTGGATGGCCCCAGAAGTGCTGAGAAATGAGCCTTCAAATGAAAAGTATGTATTAAAACCATATTACCCTATTCAAAGTGTTAATAAAGATGTATTAATTGAAACAAAATCATATAAGGCAAGAATCAGAACAATCCTACAAATGGTTGTTGATGTTGTGCCATGATATCATGCCGTACAGATGTGATGTATATAGCTACGGTGTCATACTATGGGAGCTCTGTACTCTGCAGCAGCCATGGGGAGGAATGAACCCCATGCAAGTTGTTGGTGCAGTTGGATTTCAGCATCGCCGTCTTGACATACCAGATGACATGGATCCTGCTATTGCTGACATCATCAGAAAATGCTGGCAAACGTGAGAACATTTTATCTTTCAGTCATTCGGCCCCTATTTGAGCTTCCTCCGCTATCTTTTACTCATTTCTTTATCATATGGTTGTCGGTGGTAGACCAGTAACCAAGGCACGTAGGTGACCCTTACAGTGCTGGTAGGGCAATGCCCGAATGTTCAGTGCTTCTGTTAATATCTACACAGTGACACTTGTACCATCTTGGTACCTTTTAATAAAATTTTACCTTATCAAAAAAAAAATATCTACACAGTAACACAGTTATAAAGAGCAAGGGTGCTTGGTCATTGACTCGTTGTAAATTGACCTCAAAAGTGTCAATGTACATGGCTGGGTTTACTACTTTAGTACTTTTAGATAATGTAATGGTTGGAGTCCCTTCTTTTAAAGTCAACCAAGGAGATCATAGTTGTATAACCTACTATATGAAATCAATTAAGTAATTTGATGACTCTTTCTAAAAGAGAATACCTGAAAATCCTGCACCCAAGGGTGTAGCGGCTTAAAAGAGCGTACGACCATGGCATGCAGGAAGCCATTTCTAATTCGTCCAAATACATTGTGGGGCCTAGTGATCAATGAAATGGGTGCAAACCTTGGAAATCAGGTTCAAATCCCTGCAGAGACAAAAAACACTAGGTGATTTCTTCCCATTTGTCAAAGCCTTGGCGGGCATAGTTACCTGGTATGGTACCTGTGCTGGGGGTAGTAAAACCAGGTGGAATATGTGAAGTGTATACAAGTTTTCCTGGACACCACTCTTATAAGAAAGAGAGAAAAAAAGATGGAGTGAGTCACTTATAGATGACGTCGGTACCAAAGCACCAGGCATGACAAAATACAGTACATGCTGTGTGCGGATACAAGGTCATCTTCGGTTTTGCTGGTGTAAAAATCTTATATATTTTTTTGCTTTTCCTGCTTATGTGCAGAGATCCAAAGTTACGGCCTTCATTTGGTGAGATTATGGCTGCTTTGAAACCACTGCAAAAGCCTATAAACAGTTCACAAGTACCAAAACCACTGGCGAACAGAGGTCAAGAAAAGGGCCGGTCATAAACAAACTTGGGTGATCCAGCAGCACAACAGGTTTAGGACAGAAGGAAAACGGAATTTTTATCTTTTATTGGAAATGAAGACATGTTCATATTTGCTCAACCAGAAATTGAAGGAAGCCAAAGGATCTGTCAACAGACATATACTTCATATTGAGTCAATTGTGATTCTTTTTTCCTGCTTTTGTTTTCTGGCAGTTGTCAACCCACAGTCCTCAAAGTTGTGTATTTTCTCTCATGTATATTCATTTTAGGGATCTCGTTGTAATTACAGAGTGATTGAGAATATTTTCCAAATTCTTCATACTGAAGCCGAAAGAAAAGCAATGAAATTGAGATGCTTGATTATCCAGTGGCAGAAGCAGAGATGTTACTATGTTCTTTTTGTTTTTAAAAAATAAAATAAAAATCATGTTCTTTTTTGTTTCCCTTTTGATTTAAAATTTAGTTAATCATCAATTGTTAATTTACCCTGTTGATGTGTTGATGATTTGGCCACTTAGAGTTTCCAAACCTTTCAAGCCGGAGAATGCTTCAAGGGTGTGGCGTAGTTGTCAATGAAATATGATGATATTTACGGAAAGTAAAGGTTCAAATTTCAAAAGATAAAAAATGATAGGTGTTTTTCTCTATCTGCCTAATCTTGGTCGCAAAGTTACCCGGTACTTTCGTTGAAAAGAAATAATAGATATCCGATGGAATATTCGAGACGTTCACAAGTTGATCCGGACAAAAAGAAAAAAAATGAGGCATGTAAGGATAAGGTAGGGACCATATACTACTGAATGCAGTTTAAGTCATTACAAATATCAGCTAGTCTTATCATATGCTCATATCATATCCAAAAAATGGCAACCTTCTTTGGATCACCACCATTTGTGTCTCACCCAATTACCAGAACTAACTTCTCTTCATCCTCACAAACCCCTCCTCCTCCTCAGCCACCAAATCAACCTCCACAACCACAAACTCCACCACCATCTCAAAATCTAAGTGCAACTTCTTCAGAGCCTCCATCACCTGCCCCAGCAGCTAATGTGCAGCAGCAAAAGCCTAGTAGTAAACCTGCCCGCCTATCGACAACTGCAGAATCTACTGATTGGATTGCCTCTTCCTTAACAAGGAGATTTGGCCTTGGTGCTGGACTTGCTTGGGCTGGTTTTCTTGCTTTTGGTGTTGTTTCTGAGCAAATCAAGACTCGCCTTGAAGTGTCTCAACAAGAAACAAATACAAGGTAAAATTACATCATATGTAATTCCGCATTTTATTTGTTTCATATGCTTTCTTCTCTATATAATCATCCATATCTAATCTAAAAAAATTAACTCCTCTATTATCTAATCGTCAGGGTTGTCGAGAAAGAAGAAGAAGTGGTCTTGCCCAATGGGATAAGGTACTTGACATGGTTTCCTATTTTCTCATCATACAATATGCCTTTATAATCACATAATAGTAAAGTCGCAAAACTAATTTGTTACAGTAAAATAATTGAACTTCTTCACCCACTATAACTTCAAAAATCACCAAAAAAAATTTAAGCATATAAATAACTGAACTTTACGCACTATAATAGTAAAGTAATTACTATAACAACAAAACTTACCCGTCAAGATGACTTTATTATAATAATGAGTAAAGTTTACTATTATAGGACGTGAAATTAACCTGATACTCTTGACAGTAGTTCTAATTGCATATAAAAATACATGAATCTTGTAACAGATATTATGAACTGAAAATCGGCGGCGGCGCAACTCCACGGCCAGGAGACTTAGTTGTGATAGATGTGAAGGGAAGTGTAGAAGGCAGTGGAGAAGTATTTGTGGATACATTTGGTGGTGATGGTAAGAAGAAGAAGCCATTGGCATTAGTAATGGGATCAAGGCCTTATAGTAAGGGAATTTGTGAAGGTATAGAATATGTTCTAAAAAGTATGAAAGCTGGTGGAAAACGAAGAGTGATTATTCCTCCTAATTTGGGATTTGGTGAAGAAGGAACAGATTTAGGAACGGGATTGCAAATTCCTCCATCTGCTACTCTTGACTATATTATTGAGGTTGACAAGGTTTCTATTGCACCTGCTTAATTGATTTCATTTGCTAATCTTTTTCTACATTTGCTAATCTTTTTGCTAATTTCTGTTGTTGCAATTAAGTTGGGTACACTTGTGAGTTATTGCTAGCTTGGTCAGTGGAAAGCAAATTACGTATACTCAAATTCAATAGAGCAAAATCTCGTGTCTATCTTTTCATTACCGAGATTTGGACTTTCAGTTTCTGAAATACTGAATTCTTTTTTTTAATTTTGGCTCTTGTAATATTTGACTAAGCATATTCAACAGGGACGGCTCAAGTTTAATACGAGGCCTAAATCTTTACAAGAAAGTTATAATATATATTTTTATTGAAAATCTATTCTTCTAACTTTTTAAAATGTGAAGTTGTATTTTTCTTTTTCCTTTTATATGAAAAATTCTACTTTTATACTGAAATACTATTTTTAAATACCTATATACCTATATAATATAAATTATTTTTAAAAAAATAGAGGCCTACAAAATTGGGGCCTAAGGCACAAGTTTTACCGGTGACATTCAGCATTCAACCAATTGAGATGTGAACTTTTGATCCCTTTGCTAATAAATTTTACGAAGTTAACATATTAGTAAAATTTGAACTATTCAATTATCCACGTGCTATGCTAAATTTGCATTGTTACTCAATTCTAAAAATAATCAAAATATAATATATTACTTATATAAAGGGATAAGAAATACATATTTTTAATAATTGAAGGTTAAATCCGCTTAACCAAATATGACAATAATCAAACTAAGAGTTGCCAATAACTGAGGGATCAAATGAGTAATTATCCAATTTTAATGGGCAAGTTACACATTTGGCCAAGTCAGTCAAATATAATTACATCTGCTAGCTAGATATACAAAATATATGTCTCTCTCTATATCATACTATATTATAAGTGGGAAGCCCCTAAATCAAAGTTGAATTACTAAAATATCCATAAAAAATTAGTGAACCTTTATACCCTTAGTAAATAAATAAATAATTTCTTATTGTAGTTAAACTATTGTATAAAAAGGTAAAAACACTTCATCATAAATATCCTTTATCATGTTAATGGTAATTAATAATTCATTCAACAATAAAATATGTACAGTGTGCAAAGTTTGAGAATGTATATGTTAAGAATTTACAGTTGGAGATTACGAAATATTAATGTAGCAATTAATAGTTTCATTTCATTTTAAACACAAGAAATACAGGGGGAACGAAGGGGCAGAGGTTACATTGGTGAAAAAGGAAAATCCAATGATTGCTTAGATAAACTTGTGGCTTTATAGCCTTCTTTCGTTGGAGTCATTCCCATTAATTTGGCATTAACATTATGAAATTCTTCCTTTTGCTTGGTTTGGATTTTTTTGCACTTAGATTGATGTGCACCAAAGTCAAATAAGCACTTTGGGATCTTTTATGGAAAGCAAAATCCATGGTGCTAAGTACTAACATGTTTTCTCTTCACGCAATTAGGGAGTTTGACTTAGGTGAGTTAAAGTCAAATGCTGCTATTTTATTTCATATTTGTCTTCTCTTTAATGTTGTATGTGCATTTGGAGAATTTATCAAATGATAGCTTGGCCAATTTAAATTTTTCTACTCAGCTATCTTCACCACGTCGTCTCTTCTCTTCATCTTTGGCATTCACAATTAATTTTACCTTTGAGAAATAACTTTAAACTCTAAAACTTTTTGTAGGATAACAAGTATTCTCAGTAATTCTTCGAAATTCATATGTCTTAAGCAGTTTTTTCTCGACATTAGATGAGTATCAATCAAAATTAGGGCAACTAAAACACGCTCTTGAAGAAGATCTTCATGGCTTATCTTTTATTCATCTTGGTAGAGCTTAAGAAGTCTAGCAGACCATTTACTTTTTAGTGCAAATAATCTTTATGTATCACCGAAAATATTGTGTAAACATGTTTCATCATTTTACTTTCTCATTCATATATTGCAGTATACTTTATATTAAAAGAGCACATAAATTGGGACGGAAGGTGGTCTCCATCAAGATATTTGGGAAGAAGGAAGATGAACAATTTTCCTAGCAATAGTTGGATGGTCTTTTTTATTTATTTATTCAACTAGATTTCAACAGAGACGATCATGAGGAGCATCGTTTATAAAAAATTATTAAATTAGATATAACCAATAACATTTATGTACTTAATAAAATAATAAAAATACAACTACAAATAATATTTTGTATACTATAAGTTATGTTTTTAACTCAAAACGTTTTGGAATTTGTATGCAATTAATAGTTATTCTATTTATTTTTTTTAGTTACAAGCTACATAATGATTAGACGTGCAACGCACGTATCCAGAAACTAGTACATATATATATATATATATATACATATTATATATTAATATACAAAAAATATATACATTTTGCCTGCTATTATTTTTGGGAATGGCTACACTGTTTAGTATTCCCAAAATTTTTAGTCACATCTAGGCCCAAATAAGGTAAAGTATCAATGAAGCCCGAACTCCATCTTTTCATGGGTCACAATCATATTGGGCTTTCAGCCAAATGGCCCTTTACTGAGTTCTTCATTTGGGTAAAGAAATGACATTGTTGATTCGGTAAGGAAATTCGTAGAAGCTCAAGAACAATAACCCCTCCTAAAACCCTATCGCGAAGAAGATCGAGATGCAACGATCTCTCGCCAGAAGTGTTTCTCTCTGTTCGCGCAGTTTGTTAACATCGAATGCTTACCCTACTACCTCTTCATTTTGGCCCATCTATAGACGTTTCACATCCAAAAACCCTAATCAACCGCCTGCTGAATCAAATTCGGGTCATACCGATGACAATAACCTTCAAGACGAAGATGATATCAGCAATAAAGGTGATTTTTACCAAAAGTTTCAATCTTTATTAGTTTGGATTAGTTCCGCAGCTTGTTTTTAATTTGTTAGATTTATTTCAATTACTGAAGTTTTGATTACTAGTTATTTATTCTGATTCTGAGCACCTTGATAATTAGGTTGAAGTAATATTGTTTTAGTTACTGAGAAAGGATTGAAACAAAGATGGAAGTTATATATGAAATTGATTTCTTGTCGAATTATTACAGCTTTAAAAAAGCAGATAGATAGATTCTTTGAAGGAGACGAAGAAGCATTCCCATCAATATTTGAAGCCATATTGAAAAGGAAGTTGGCTGGAAAAAGTGAGGAATCAGATGAGGAATTAATGAATGAACTTCAAGCCCAGCCTAGACAGCATGATTCTGCTGATAAGGAGTCCGACTCCGATTGAGTTGAAGCTCGAGTTTTTGTAATTGCATAGCCTCTAGATGGTGTAATACCTTTGAACTACATTTTCAAGTACTAATAGTATTAATTAGTTAATTTAAGTTTCAATTGAAATGCATAAAATATGAGTTTTAGGCATAAAGGATTAAATTGGCAGTTTTATCTTTCGCATTTTCATTAAGTAGGTTTTAGCACTAATTGCATTGGATGATCGGGTTCCTCTAAACAGCTTCCTTTCAGCTTTGTTACGTAATTGGAAAAAACTTACAGCTTGTTTGGATGGTTGTTACACATTGTTTCTTAATGCACTGTACTATATTATACTATATTATACTATATTATTTTAATAATATAATGTTTGAGTAGATTGTGTAATTTTTGTCGTTTCATAATGTCACATACCAACAATTTAAAAAATAAGCTTACAATATTGTTAAAAAAGTAGAATATGGGGCAGAGTAATTATTAAAAGTAGGTTAAAGAGTAATTAGAATTATATTAAGGACAAGATGAGAAAAAAGTAATGTAACAACATGACTCCATCAAACCGGTCGTTACATAAAAGGAGTTTTTTTATCGTTATATAACAAAGAATTTAATAGTATAATATAATAAAATTTAATAAATAATTAAAATAAATATTGTATTTAAAGTGACAATACAACACAATAATAACAACCATCCAAACAAATATATAAAAGGGCAGCAGTCCGGTGCACTAAATATATAAAATAAATAAAAAACTTAAATGTTAAGTAGATGATTTACAAAATTTAAATTCTAACTGGTTACTGTACATAAACTCTAACAACTTAGCAAATTTAATGTTCTTGTTTGGATTTCTAAATTTACACAATTTGATTTCATCTTTATTTTAAAATTGCCATTTCTTAATTTTATTTCTTTTACTTTACAATTGGTGAAAAGACATTGTTCACATTAATATAATATAACAAATAAATGACAAAAATAACAAGAGTAAAATATCAACAAACAATTATTTTACCATGTAAATAAACACGATTAAACAGCAAACATTTACAAAATAAGAAATAACAACAAAAAAATAAACTATATGTCGTAATAGCAACATAATTTTTTAATTAAGTTTGTTAAATAATCAACTTCCACCGCTAATAAGAGGTGGACATTTTTCATGGTTGAAGTGATACTTGTAGAGTTATAATAAATTAGAAATTTCGAAGTGGCGAGAGAAAGGAATAAAATAATAATAATTTATAATTATTTGATTGTTAACTATTGTATTGTATCGTATTGTTATTTTAAATACGGTATTTATTTTGACTGTTATTTAAATTTTATTGTATCGTATCGTTAAATCCGTCATTACGTAACGACGAAATGTACCACTTTATGTAACGACCGATTTGGTGTGGTCGCATCGTTACCTTGTCTTTTTCTCTTATCTCACCCTTCATTATTATTAAATAATTTTATTTTATCATTTACCTTACCTTTTTATATAATAATTTTACCCCGTATCAGATTTTTAAAAAATAATATTACAAGTTTATTTTTCATATTGATGGTGCATATATATATATATATATATATATATATATGAGGAAATTGCTAAGCTGATGTGGCATGTCTCATATGCAAGGATTTGTATTTATCTATTTTTTTAATTTTTTTGTTTTTCTTCCCGTCAATTCAATAGAATACTCAATTATTTTTCCAACAGTTACAACTCTTTTATTTTCTCAACCGTTACAACCTTCATTACAACCTTTTTATTTTTTCAATTGTTACAACCTTCAACTCCTCCCTCCATAATAACTAAGGAATGAAACACAATCTTCGTTCCACTTCCAGCCTTCTTCCCGGGGCTTATATTTAGCGAGAATATGGGTTGTTTAGTTTATTATTTAATGTGCCCCATCATTGCCTTTACAACTGAGGACAAGAAGCCCATGTACGGTTTGAAGCTTCATGTTTATATATAGATTGGTGTTTAATTTTCAAATATCTCTTTTAAGTTTTTATTTTTTCTTTTTCTATCTCGGGCCTCGGGGCTTATATTTGTTTTGCTCGACTTTGTGTTATAGTTGTTGGAGGTAATTAAGAGAGTATCAAGGAACAAGAAGATTCGGTTCTTGCACAAGAAATGTGGATATAATTCAATATCCTTCAAGAGATGATAGGACACAATTGGTGCTATCTGATTTTTCTCTTAATATTTTATCTGCAGAGGGCGAGAGAAGAAGAAAGTCTCTTTTTGAAAGATTTCTCATTATTGTGAGGTACTTGAGTTGATTAAACAATTCCTTCCTCCAGCAAATACGGCTTAGATATATTATTAAACTAAAAAAAAAAAAATCTTCTAGAGGTGCTTGATGTACACTGGAGGTAATGGTGGGCGAAGTGAAATGGGCTTCCTAAAAAGAATTGCTTCCTAAAAAGAATTGCTTGGCCATAGTGTTAACTGCTAATGGTTTCTTGAACTGTTCATTCGAGAAGTTATGCAAGACATATTGATGGTTGTTGCTTGATGTTCTCTTTTCAAAGGAATGGAAAGGAATTAACAATTGAATGCTCACTGCCCGGATAGCAACATTCGAAATATTGAAAAAATAATCATTGCGTTCCTTTATAACTCCTTCTGAATATTTGGATGCATATTTTTTTCCCAAAGAATATAATCAATTGTTCTTCTCTCGAGTAGTTATTATTTTTCTCTAAATTCATATGGTGTGTTGTTGAGACATTATTTATTTTGAAGCCTTCATTTAGAGAAATAATGAGGAAGGATGCTCAAAGAAAGAAATAGCATGCAAAAGCTTCATCAAGTTTAAGTCCTCATAAGACTATATTTCTATGTCTGAACCATACTGATGTATTTTTATTGGGAATGTATATATAATGGTTCTTGAAAATTAATTCCATATTCTTGTTCCAAGATATGGTAGAATTCTCAATTCTAACGCCGTCCAATGTTTGATACAATGATATGCAATAGAAATCTCATCTGCGTGGCCATGGAGGAATTTATCACATTCTTTTCGGGTAACTATTTTGAACATTTGCACAAATAGATAGTTGTACTACATATTATGTTATTTGTGGATTTCTGCTATGTTTATGTAGCAGTGTTGTATCTATATACTTAGTGATTGTCGGGTTAATTGCCTTCTATAGAGCTGCTCATTCTGATTATTAGTGATTTTTATGTCTAATCTTTTATGTTTTGCGTTTACTTAGAAGAAGTTTTTATGACCGCGCGAAAGCGCGGGGTAATTCACTAGTTATATCATACAACAACGACAAACAATATAATTTATCTAAATATTATATTCATCAAACGATATAGTACAATATAATACGATACATTATGAAATGATATGTAATAACCATTCAAACAAGCTGCAAGAGAAATTATCACCAATAGACGAGGAATAACAATGAAAAGGAACGAGAGGGAGAGGAGAAAAAGAAGAAGAAAAAGAAAGAGAAATTTATGCGCTATGTCCAATGGGAATATCAATTAACTTTATATATATTTAAAATATTTATTTTACCTAGTTTGCCAAAAAGAATTTATTTCAATTTCAGAGTCAACATTCAAAAGTATTTTTTAGTAAAAAACGCTTCGTCGTCGGGAAAAAAAATAAAGCAACCCCCGCCCCCCGCTCAATTTTAACATTCTTTTCGATCTACCATGTTTTCTTTTTCTTTTAGTAAAAATGTAAAAATTATTTTTTTGTCATTCCTATGTTATTTCCCTGTATAGTATCTATTTAACACTGAAGGCAAAGTTGAAACACAGAGGGAGCTAAAACCCTAAAACCATGAGACGAGCTCTTTCTTCTTTGTGCTCTCGCAATTTCCACATCTCTCAAAACTTCAAATCAAATCTGAATTATATCAACAGCAGCAGCAGTAAAGTCATACACTCCCCAGTTGTTTCTCATTTCCCTTCAAAGTTTAGATTCTTCTCATTATCAGAAAATGATTCATCGAATCAGAACGCATCTGAACCAAGCCCTCAGCCCGAGACTAACTTGGCCGAACCCACAAAGAAAGAGGTCTCTCTCAATGTTGAAGATATCAACAATAAAGGTGAGAAAGCTTATATTTTGTGATCTTCATATCTTTTTGGGGATTCAGTGGAGATTATTTGTGAAATCTGAGAAAATGGGGGCTATGGGGTTAATTTTCTCGCTGAATAAAGTATGGACGAAATTAGTTTTTGGTCTATGATGCATGTAGTATGCTAGGAAACTGCATTATTTAGCGATTTTGCTGATTAATCTTTTTAAAAAGAGTGATATTTCTGGTTAATCAGTAATTAATGGATCTCTCTTGCTACAATTGCTGCTGAGTTACCCATATCTGTGTTGGTGGGAGGTAGCAGGTACTTGGTGGAATGGTTGAGATGCCTAAGCTGCACGGACACCATGAGTTATAAAAAAAGAAAAGAAAATAATTGATGCTGATTGCTGACAATAAGATATTGGAGAAAATTTAAGGGATAGAATTCTGGGTTCTAGTTTATTATCGTCTCTATGTTTGTTATTCCAATTGCAATGTCCCAGAAAAAAGAATTCTTTTTCAACTTTAATGCGTTCTGTCCAATGGATATTCCTTTAGGAGTACTTTGTTGTATACGATCGGGGGTTATATATTTTAAATTTAAATGGGTATCTTGGTTTCATATTAAGTAATCTCGTTTGTTATATCTGCTGTAGAGTTGAAGACGCGGATTGAGGAGTACTTCAACAAAGGCAATGAAGAGGCGCTTCCGTCAATTCTTGAAGCAATATTAAAGAGGAAATTGACGAGAAAGCATGAGCATACAGATGATGAGTTAATGGAGGAGCTTCAAATGAAACCCCTGGATGATGTAAATGACCAAGAGTTTGAATCAGATTTCGAGGATGCTCACTCCACTGATGAAGAGATTGAAGATTTGTATGACACAACGGATTTAGTGAAAAGGAGAATGGCGTCTGATCAATTCTTCAACATGGATGACAGAAAGTGGGATGATATGATAAAAGAGGCTACCGAGCATGGGTATCTTAGGGATACGAAGGAGTGTGAGGAAATTTTGCAGGAGATGCTTAGCTGGGATAAAATTCTACCTGGTACTACTTCTGTTTGCTCTTCTGACTTCTTGAAAAGTTTTTCAGATTAGGCAGGTGCATAATTTCTTTGCTCCAATTAACAATTAAAAATAATATATATGCTCCAATTCAGCGATCCTACTGATAATGCCGGAACTTTGATGGGCACAGGGTATGATTTCCACAATGAGTTTTATAGTTAAGTAAATTTTCGTTTTCTAATTCCTTTCCCATTAGGCTTATGAAATTGGTGTAGTTAAGAAAAGAATGGTTAAAACTCAAAGAGGTGTGGTAGAAACAATGAAAAGGTAAATTAAAATTTCTTGATTGAGCAAATTACATGTTACCTGCATAACAAAATTCTTTAACTTTTCAGTCAGTTATATATATCCTTGCTTGCTAATTTTTTGATAGCTTGTATGAAGTTACAACCTTTATTATATTTCAGTTTCACGTAATGTTGTTTCTTTAGGACAATACCTGAACTTGTCTTTTACAGAGTGTAGAGTCAGTTTTTGGTGATCTATTTGACATCCCAATCTATTTTGTATTTGGATTCCTTGACTCAGTGGATGTTTTATTTTACCCAGACGAAATTAAGAAGAAGGTGGAAGTTAAGTTTGATGAGATAGGTGAAAGGGTTGAAAAAGGTGAGATTACCCCTGAAGAAGGCTATGCATTGTTCAAGGAGTTCGAGGATGGGGTGGTCATGGAGTGCGCAAAACTGATAGAGAAGGATGCTCCACAGTTTGACGAGACTATTTTGCCAGATAAGAATAAGAATTTGGATGACCCGCCAGGCGAAGGGCCAGTTCTTAGATGGCAAACAAGGGTGGTCTTTGCTCCTGGTGGTGATGCATGGCATCCAAAAAACAGGAAAGTCAAATTGGCTGTTACGGTGAAGGAGTTGGGTCTGTCAAAGCATCAATTTCGTCGCTTAAGAGAATTGGTTGGAAACCGCTATCATCCTGGGAGAGACGAGCTTACCATAACCAGTGAAAGGTAAAGTCACATTGTAGATGCATCTAGATNGACCCGCCAGGTGAAGGGCCAGTTCTTAGATGGCAAACAAGGGTGGTCTTTGCTCCTGGTGGTGATGCATGGCATCCAAAAAACAGGAAAGTCAAATTGGCTGTTACGGTGAAGGAGTTGGGTCTGTCAAAGCATCAATTTCGTCGCTTAAGAGAATTGGTTGGAAACCGCTATCATCCTGGGAGAGACGAGCTTACCATAACCAGTGAAAGGTAAAGTCACATTGTAGATGCATCTAGATTACTAGTGTCTGATCTTGTTATGGGTTTGCTGTTACTTTATGTTTAGGCTTAGCTTCCAACTGAGTATTATTGTGTAACTATCTGTTGAAACAGTTGCTTAAGGAAGTATTTGACTGCTGCTTATTGGTGCCCCTTTACACACGCATTTGAAGTTTGTGAAACTTACCATGAATAAAATGTTTCTTTTTCCTCAGATTTGAACACCGTGAGGAGAATAGAAAGGACTGCCTGAGGACTCTATTTGGTCTCATTGAAGAGGCTGGAAAGGCTAACAAATTGGTAGAGGATGTTCGAACTTCATATGTGAAGCAGAGGCTCAAAGCAAATCCTGCATTCATGGAAAGGCTGCGTGCAAAAACCATGAAATTAAAAGAATCTAGCTTGCTGCATGCATGACATAAGCTCTTTCCAGCTGGCATTTTCTTGTAGAAGATAAATGGAAGGTTATTGATGTGCCTTCTCTTTGGCATTTCAAAATGTTTTTCCACATTCACAGTTAATACAGGTTCGCAAGGGAAACTCTTGCATGGTGTTTTGCAAAAGAATTATCAGTTACTTTGGTGGCATGTATTAGCTATCCTTGTTCNAGCCCCTGAAAGAAAAGGAAAATAAAATGAGTCTCTTCTTTGAGAGAATAGTACACTCCAAACTTTTTGAAGCTGCTTTTGCCATCTATATTCTAGTTCTTAAAGCCCTATAAGTTGTCTGCTAATCTAGGCTGTGGGGTGTGAACTGTGGCACTTTTTGTTTGGGATGTGATTTTTTTTAGTTTGGTGTTGTTGTGTCCTGCTTTTTAGTTATTTTGTTAGCATTGCTAGTTGCAATCATTTCAGTTGGATCCTTCCTGAACAGGTCGTGCACTTGGGAATAATGGAATTCTTACTGCTACTAGAGGGTATCCAGTAGACGGATCACCTTTCTCAGTTTCAAGATACAAGTTGAGTGGGAGATCAGAGAACAAGGTTTTATTAATTACTTGTAGACGGGTGTGGTATCTCTGGTGCTGATGGAATGATCATTGATGCAATGACTATCCTTTCTGCATTATATGTGGTGTCACTGTAGAACTTGAAAATGAATTGTCATTTGTTTTCTGAGTAACTTGTATTTTAGAAGCCCATCTGCTTAAATCATGTCTGCAACCAGCTACTATATGGTGCTGGAGAGATACATGATGCAATAGAACCATTTTTTTCACTCACAAGATTACCAATCAAATGTAGTGTGTTTCCCAGTCTTCAGCCTAAGCCACTGATCTGTCAACTGCTGTACTGATATTGTCTTTTTTGGCTAATGGTAGTGTTCGATTTAGCTTGTGTGTTCCTTGGCTAATTCACCCAATACTAGTAATGATATAAACCTTGTACAGCTGAAATGGAGGCATGTGCGTCTAAAATGATATGTATTGATGGTCTTGCTATTTGAATAAAGTCTAAGATCCATAAGGTTCCCAGATTAGAATGGACTACTAAGCTGAGAAAATCTCTAATTTGGTTCCCAAAATCTGATCAGCACTGCAGCTTGAAAAATTGCACGAAGCTATGTTTGAGTGGTGTGTAGGACATTTTGCCATTGGGCATTTGGCATTTGGCATTTGGGAGTTACAAATCGTGAGCGTTGGTTAGGGCATGTTAAAGTAAAAAACCATGCTTATTTTTCCATCTATCCATTATGAATTCTCATGTGAAATGATTAACATAAAATAGCCAAACAAGTTGGAAATGTCAATGCTTTTTCTTTGTGGTAGCTAATTAGGTTACATTTTCCTTGCATGATCATGGCATTTATTAAGTTTATGTGAGGTCAATATATAAAGAGCAAATGCTAAAAGATCTTCGACCAAAGAATATCATCACATAAGGCTAACACTATAGAATTTGATGCAATGTTGTCATAGTTGGAAAACTTTGTAAATGCAGGGTATCTTCACATCCTACTTCTCCTCATCCTCCTCCTCGTCCTTTCCATGATCAACCACCAGTGGCGGCTGCCTACAGCTGCCACGACTTGATCGATTTTGCATATACCTCATGCCTATAATCTGTCAGCTGCCCATTATCCGCTCGATAGAGTCCGTGAATTCTGCTCTTTATGTATGTGCTGATTATTTTGACACACGTTAGAATCTGAACTAGACGCAGTGAGTTCTGTCAAACCCGTTGAATTAATATGGAGACTCATGCTCAGAATAGTCTAGAAGACCACTAACACAATGGCAACCGATCACAAAACTCGCACTGATGGTTAAATCAAAAGGATTATTTGTTGAATAGGATTATCTTCAAATTAATACAAAGTTGGAAAGAGATCCAAAAAGGAAAAAAGAACTCCTTTGTCAAGAATGGGATTTGAACCCATGCCCTTTCGGACCAGTACCTGAAACTGGCGCCTTAGACCAACTCGGCCATCTTGACAGTGGATTTAAGTTGCTGAAATTATTTACAAGTAACTTTCTTTTTCTAATCAGCAAAAACAGAATTCACCTTTTGAGTGTTTTGACCTCAAACATATAACAGCACTTCAGTTCAGCTGGAGTAGTAACTAGTAACTTGAGTTTAAAGGAAAAAAGAAAAAAGGAAATAATAAGGAGAACAGAAAGAAATAGTAAAGCTTGAGTCTCAAGCATAATTGTTTTTTCCATCGATATTATTTGAGAATGCTATCCTTTTCCTAAAAGGTGACGAGTGCAGTGTAGATAGGTGTATATCAACTGAACTAGTAGACGCTAAGAACTAGTAGAAGAACACAGAAAAGCCAAAATCATCTGGATAAACTCTAAACTCCTGCATCAGCATTCACACCAGTGGTTTTTGCTTCTGTGCAGGCTTTTTTAGTCATTTCTAGGCTTCTAACTTTAGATGATTTTATATTACTTTCATCTTTAGCATGAGTGCAAGAGACTGTTTATGAAGAAAAATGCACAGCCATGCGGATTTAGGACGGATTCTATGATTCAAATGAGTTCATTATTTTTTAATCGAACTATCTATACATATGCAAAAAAAATTAATGTATGCATATGCTAAAATCACATTCGTTTTCAACTCACTGATTCTAAATCCTAAAAGCGGCTCTGTATTCAGGCACCACATCCTCCACCACAACCTGCACCACAGCCTGCTGCGCATCCGGCTCCTCCATAGGCACTTGATTCTGTTGCTGCTGATTTATCTCTTGGCACTGCCCCTTGTGCACATGACAAGATTATAAACGTTACGACGAAAACCGCAGCCAATATTCCCAAGAATGTTACCAAAACATTAGTGCCAAGATTACCAAAGCCTTCACCATCAATCAAAATCCTTAATTCTCTTGCCATCTTTTCTCTTCAATCTGTGGTGTGTGATTGTTTTTGACTTGTTTTTTGTGTGGAAATGAAGGCAGGGGAGGAGAACTTATAGTTGTTCCAAAGGCCAAATTCACTAAAATTGACCCTTCTTTTCTTGCTAAATATGTCTCTCTAAGTCATGTCTAAACTTTTCATAACTTTATATATATATGTGATGTTTCTCTATTTCAAGACTTAAGATGGTGGGTCAACACAGCCCACTATCAAGATTTGGAGTTTTCAGATCCCACTCTTCTTTGTCACTTTCTATGATGTGTGAGAAAGATAGCATAACAGTTATAAGCCCATTAATTTGACACCTCAAATCCAAATTAACTAGAGGCGCGACTATATGGATTTTCAAATCTCCCAATTTCCTAGCAAACTTAAGGGTAATACTTAAAATTTAAGTAATTCGTATTGCCTATATGAATACTTTGCTTTGACTTAGTTAGCATTAATTTCAAAAGATCAAAAAACCTTTGAGATAACTTGACTCAATGTGATTTTAACGGCGATTAATATTTCTTGCCCAATTAATCATACAGTAAGTACTGGATTTGCATCAAATTAGAGTATTTAATTCTAAATTTTGCTAAGTCTCATCTTGGGTAGGTTGTAATTAGTGTGATCTAATCCTTAAATTAGTGCACATAAAGCCAGCATTCACTAGATTAGATTAGTGGAAGAATTTATTAGTGCAATAATTTAGTTATTTAACTAAAAAGAGAACAATCTTTCAGAATTTGTCACACGTTTCATCTGGTTGTTGAGGTTGATCTAATACTCCAACTAACATGGCTGTTTCCACAAAGGACAGACAAACTTTGTGGAAGTATCAAAGCTCTCTTTTTCTATTTCTCTCATAGTGCTAATGAATGTGCCTAAGTATCTTCTTGATGTCAAAATAGTACCACAACATTGAGTCGTTGGAACAAGAAACACAGCACAACCTCTCATGTATATATCATCATGTTTCGGTGTATATATTGTTTTTAGGGCAAAAGTTATTCGATTAAACCTAATAGCGTATTGTTCGAAATTCAATGAATAATGGATATGCCTTTCTATCAACTTTCTCCACTTAAGTACCAGACTTATATATGCGATAGGGTTTCAAATCGTGACTAACCCTGTTGGGCTGCCAAAAGTCTCAGACAAGAAGCCCAATAGAATAGTTGGATACCCGGCCCAATTATGTAACAAAAGTCCATAAATGTAATACTGATATAGAGAGTTTCTTCTGGAACATTTGAGATACAACATGAAATAAAATAAAAAATATCTTTCTTCTCTCTCCTGTTGCTCAACCTAGGGCTTTTCTCTTCTCACTTTCAATTTCTCTCAATCGACTCCAATAATGGAGTCTAACATAGTATCAGAGCATAGCAATCGATCCGTCTTGATGAGAGCTTTCGTCTGATGGTACCCGTGTGCTTTGGTTCAATGGTTTTGGTCCGATACTGAGATTTTTCGATCTGAGTGATTTTGGGATTTCTTTGAGTTTTCTTGATTTCTTCGATTTCTTCTTCTGTTTCTGCAGTTAGAAGACCTTAACTTCTTCTGGTGTGCGAAGAAGGAGGGTAAAAATTCTGACTTTCATTTGCATGTGAAATTAATGTACGATTAGGATCTTTGTCTGCTCGATTTTGACTGTGATATAGTGATATGTGTGTTATCTCGCTCTATTAAGACTAGTTATCATACAAAATCGTAATTACTTTGTCTGAATATGGGAAGTCCTTCCTCCGTTACTGATGGTTTTGTTGAGTTCACTTTGGACTCATCTCACCCTTTCTATGTTCATCCATCCGATAGTCCTAGTAGTCAGTTAGTTGCTATCCCTTTCAATGAGACTGGTTTTGTACATTGGTGAAGTAGTACGCTCACCTCACTTTCCGCTAAAAACAAACTAGGCTTAGTCGCAAGGAAAGTTCCTCAACCTCCACCTAATTCTCCCTATTATCCTTACTGGGAGCGATGTAATGATATGGTAAAGGCTTGGATTATCAATTCATTGACTAGGAAGATAGCAGTCATTGTCATATGTCTCAACACTGTTAGAGAAGTATGTAGTGATATAAATGAAAGGTTTGGACAATCTAATGGATCCAAGTACATTCAAATCCAAAGGGAAATCGGTTCTAACTCACAAGGGTCTTCTGATATTGCCACTTACTTCACCAGAATGAGAGCTCTTTGGGATAAGTTAAACTCTGCATATGTTGGCCCTACTTGTTCCTGTGGGGCTCTACCCAAATTCATAGAAGACCAACACCTTTTTCAATTCCTAAGTGGGTTAAATGAGTCATATTCCACTATAAATAGTAGTATCATGCTCATGTCTCCACTCCCATCCATTAGTAAGGCTTATTCTTTACTCCAACATGATGAAAGTCAAAAGGAGAATCAACCTCCAGCCTTGGGTTTTTCTGGTGATTCGGCATCATTCTCTACCACTACAACTAATTCAACACATGTCAATCAAATGAATTCCCCACACAATACCAGACCTTATAACCAAAGAATTAACTTTGATCCAAAAAGGAATTCACCATCTGTGTCTTGCAAGTACTGCAAAAAGCCTGGTCACACAATAGATAAATGCTATAGACTCCATGGCTTCCCTGCTGATTTCAAATTCACCAAAAATAAGAGATTTGCCTCTTGTGTTCAAGTAGAAGAACCTGCTGATGATATTGGTCCTAGCATCAAGTCTAGTGACTCCACAGCTTATGGTTTCAGCAAAGAACAATATCAACACCTCATGTCTCTTTTTCAGCAGACTCACATCTCTCCTGGGATCCATTCTTCACCTTCTGATGAAAATATTGGTTATGCCAAATTTGCAGGTGTGTCATCTTCCTGTTGGTCAATTTCCTGTAGTTAATTCTGTAGTACATTCTTTGTCTGCTCAGTTAGGAAAAATACCTTGGATACTAGATTCAGGTGCCACTAATCACATGACTTCCAATAAAAAATTCTTACACAATTTACAACCCTTACCTAAACCTTACTTAATCACTTTACCAAATGGTTATAAAGTCAAAGTAATATCTACTGGTTCCTTACTTCTTAGGAGAGACAATATTTTACACAATGTACTTTTAGTTCCTTCTTTTTAATTCAATCTTATTTCTGTATACCAACTTCTTTCTCAATTGCAATGCTTAGCATTATTTAGCAGTCACTCTTGTTTTTTACATGGCCCTTCTTTGAAAAGGCCATTGAAAATTGGTAGAGCTTCTCATGGGTTGTACTTTCTACTTTCTGACATGCATGAGTATTCACCTTTTGTTTCTACTATATCTTTTGGTACTGCTTATAATATTTTTCCTTCTAATTCTGTTTCACCTTTTTCTCTTGTATTTCTTCCACTACTGTTAATAAAAGTGATTTGTTTTGGCACCAAAGATTGGGACATATGCCATTTCATAAGATGAAGTCTATTCCATTTCTATCTAACATAGTTTCTTCTAAACATTCATTTTTCTGCCCTGTTTGCCCTATGACTAGGCAACAAAGACTTCCCTTTCCTGAAAGCCATATCAAATTCACTTCTCCTTTCTAACTTGTCCATTTAGATCTATGTGGCCCTTACCACACTAGGACATACAATGGGTTTAGATACTTTCTTACCATTGTGAATTATTTCTCTAGGGTTACATGGACCCATCTCTTGTCTTGTAAGAGTAATACCTTATCCATTATTAAAGCTTTCACTAATATGGTTCAGATTCACTTTCATTCCTCTGTTCAAACTTTCAGGGCTGATAATGCCTATGAATTAGGCAATAGTTCTGAAGCACAAACATTTTTCTCTGAAAATGAGATTCTTCACCAAACCACTATTCCACATACCCCACAACAAAATGGGGTAGTTGAAAGAAAATATAAATATTTATTAGAGACTTCTAGAGCCTTACTTTTTCAATCTCACCTTCCTGTCAAATATTGGGGTGAATGTGTCTTGACTGCCACTTATATCATAAATAGGATGCCTTCTTCTGTCTTGGGGAGCATGTCTCTTTTTCAAAGGTTGCATGGTGTCTCTCCTTCCTATGAACATCTCAAATCTTTTGGTTGTCTATGTTATGCTACCACTCCCAAATCTGGTAGGGATAAATTCCAATATAGGGCCATTAAATGTGTCTTTCTGGGTTATCCATATGGTAAAAAGGATTACAAACTCCTTAATCTCACCAATCATTCTGTTGTTTTTTTCAAGAGATGTGGTATTTCATGAACATGTTTTTCCTTACTCTTCACACTCTTCTCCAGTATATCATACTCCTCTTGTTCCTTTTGTGGATTGTGCCTCCACTCCTTCTCCCCCTTCATTCTCCTCTGCTCCTTTATCTTCTTCACCTCATTCTCCTCCTACATATGTCCCTCCTTCTGCCACATCCTTGCCAACTTCTCCTCTGCTTAGGAAGTCTAGCAGGGTCTGCCACACTCCTCCCTATCTTAAAGACTATGTTTGCTCCTCTGCCCTCTCCAATCCTGTATCTGGGACATCCAAGGTGTCTCCTGTTGAGCTACAAATGCATGAATCTCCATTTTACCAGCAGGCTGCCTCTAATCCTGCTTGGCAAGAGGCTATGCTACAAGAATTTCAAGATCTAGAGGCAAACCATACATGGGAGATTGTTCCTCTTCCTCCTCACAAGAAGCCTATTCCCTGCAAATAGGTTTACAAGATTAAATAAAAATCTGATGGCTCTATTGAGAGGTACAAAGCCAGATTGGTTATTAGATGTGACACCCAGAAGGAAGATATTGATTACACTGAGACCTTCTCTCCTGTTGTTAAGTTCACTACCATCAAGTGTCTTCTTTCTCTTGCTGCTAAGAAGGACTGGACTGTGTATCAACTTGATGTGAATAATGCCTTTCTTCATGGTGACCTTCATGAAGAAGTATGTATGAAACTTTCACCCGGTCTTCAGATTTCCACTTCTGCAGCTTCTGATTCTTCTCCCTTGGTTTGCAAGCTGAACAAGTCACTTTATGGCCTCAAACAGGCCTCGAGGCAGTGGTTTTCTAAACTGTTTGAGGCTATGCTATCTAGAGGTTACATTTCAAGTAAGAATGACTATTCTCTCTTCACCAAGTCATCTAATTCCTCCTTAACAGTCCTGGTTGTCTATGTTAATGATATATTGCTTGCTGGGGATGATGTAGCTGAGCTTGACAATCTGCAATATTTCTTGGATTCTCAGTTCAAGATCAAATATCTGGGGTCTGTCCATTATTTTTTGGGCTTGGAGGTTACCAAGAATAGTCAGGGTTACTTGGTCAGTCAACAGAAATTTGCTTCTGACCTCTTGGATGAATTCAACTGTATGCATTTCACTCCAGTAGTGACTCCCCTTGAGTCATCTATCAAATTAACTTTTGACATGGGCCAACCACTCACTGATCCTAGTTTTTATAGAATACTTGTGGGGAAACTCAATTTTTTACAATATACCAGACCTGATATTGCATTTTCTGTCCAACATTTGAGTCAATTCCTTCAAGCTCCTCAGGTTCCCCACATGCTGTCTGCTATACATGTTCTTAGGTACTTGATGAATGCACCCGAGCAAGGAATTCTCCTTTCAAAGTCTCCTGTCACTTCTCTTGTAGCATATTCTGACTCTGATTGGGCCGCATGTACCGAGTCTCAGAAGTTTGTCACTGGCTTTTTCATTAGTTTTGGTGGTTGCCCTATTTCTTGGAAATGCAAGAAGCAGCATATAATCTCTCTTTCCTATGCTGAAGCTGAATACAGAGCTTTGAGGAAAGTTGTGGCTGAAATCTCCTGGCTGGTTTGTTTATTTGCTGATCTTGGTCTGATTTCACTCTCCTGTTCAGGTGTTTTGTGACAGCCAAGCTGCACTTCATATTGCTAAAAATCCTGTCTTTCATGAGAGGACTAAGCATATTGACATTGACTGCCATTTTGTTCGTGATTGCTTACAAACTGGATTGATCTCTCTTCACCACATTTCTACTACTGACCAGCCTGCTGACATTTTAACCAAGTCTCTTGCAGGGCCTCTTCACCATCACCTGCTTGGCAAGCTTGGAGTGGCTTCCCCCTCCAGCTTAAGGGGGGGGGGGGGTGTTGGGCTGTCAAAAGTCTCAGACAAGAAGCCCAATAGAATAGTTGGATACCAGGCCCAATTATGTAACAAAAGCCCATAAATGTAATACTGATATAGAGAGTTTCTTCTGGAACATTTGAGATACAACATGAAATAAAATGAAAAATATCTTTCTTCTCTCTCCTGTTGCTCGACCTAGGACTTTTCTCTTCTCACTTTCAATTTCTTTCAATCGACTCCAATAAGGGAGTCTAACAAACCCACACATCTTGCACGATGCTCTTGTTACTAAATAGCTCTTATGAGTTTATGGTTTTACACCAAGGCGGACCTATGCTATACAAAGAAGGGTCACCGACACCTGTAAAGTTCGGCATGTATATATGTATATGTCTTTAAAAATAGTAATATATTAGTAGCATGTACCCTATGTATAAAACATATTTTGGTTGAGCCCAAAAGTGTACTCACGACCTTCAAAATGAATAAAAATTCTCAATTGGAAGGGATGTTTCTAAAGGGCTCAATGAATTCCTAATTGGAATTAGGGGATCTTTTTCTCTTTTGTAATTCTCTCTATTTGATTTTTGATTGTCGTTGTTCTATGAGTCATCCATCATTTTGCTTTCTATCATTGAAGAATTTGGTTAAATGATTCGGTAATTATATGATTATTATCCTGGATCCGCCTCTAGATTTACATAGTCTATTATTAGTCATCCTACTTTTAATGTGTTCCTTTGCCAGAAATTAGAATTTAATTGTTAGTGCATCAGTCACTGTTGTTGCCAATTCTTATCCATCAGTTAATCTCATTTTTCTTCTTCCTTTTTTTCCCTTACATATTATTGGCATTTTTTACCAGTTCTGGAAACACATTTCATAAGATGTACTGTTGCATTACTTAATAATCATGTACATTGATGATCATACTGCAAATTATTATTTTGGATGTCCAAGAAAACAAGAATAGTCCACATTTAAATTTTGTACTTAATTCATCCTATTTCTCCTTTCTTTCTTTGGCTGGCCCTCTGGGAATTTTGCCTAGAAAATCTGCATTAAACTTCCTGCACATTTTTCTCATCTGCCTCTTCAATTTGTAGGCAGTATCGTCGACTTCTTCCTCATATTTCTCGTAAAGGAATGGGAGAGTTTCCACACAAAGCAAACCTTGTAGACAATATTCCCAGAAAAAGTTTAAAAAGCGAGAGAGTAATAATGTTAGTAATAGAAGAATGAGAAATAGTTAAGTAATCTTACCAAAAAACAAAAGGTTCAAGGTGCTGATATAGTTTCCAAATACTGAGAGTATATAGAGAGAAATGATGGCCTAAAACATAAAAAAATGGAGTAGATAAGTATAAAATCCATTGAAATAAAGGACATGAATTAGTAATTTATTTGGCTAAATTGATTCATAATACCAGAAAGAAGAGCTTTGCATCATTTCCACATGCGACAAAGTGAAATATGGAGAGGAAATCGTTGAACTTCTTGTGTAAGATTGAAGCAACATCTTCAAATGTAGTATCTTGTAATATGTCTTTGGGAATACTTGGAGGTGTCCTGAACATGTTATATGAATCAATAAATCATATGTATATACAAAGTCAGAACATAGACATATAAGCAAAAAGTCACAAAATTTTTGATAAGCATTAAATTCTGAACCCATAATTTCGGAAGTGTAATAGGTTCAGTCAGTGGCGTATGCAGAAATTTTCGTAAGCAGTATCAATATTTGAAAAAGTGAACAAATGAATAAATTACTGTAACGACAAGCGATGTAATTTTTTTATATTTTACCAAATATTTTAATTTTATTTATTATTTATACATATAGATTACAAAAAAATTCGACAAACGTGACACCGCTTCAAGCAGGGTGCCTACGCCCCTGCGTTCAATGGTAAGAACTTAAAGATTGAACTTATTAAATTTAAATCATGGATCCGCTTCTCTATATATGAAATGTAGATCTTTTGATGAGGAACAGATATTTTCATTCGTAGCAAGGGGAAATAAGAAGAATACCAGCCAAAGATATCTGCACTTGCAGACCAAATGAAGACTACTAACATTGTGGTGATAGAGACATGACAGAGGAGAGTCACAAAGGTATAATCCACAATCTCAAAAAGAAACCACATTACTGCAACTGCAATTAGAATTGCTGCGGAAAATCTTTTGTCTCTCCATAATAATATGTCCGCAACTGCACTTAAAAAAATTTAGTCCATGGGGTAATTAACCAATCACAAAAAGGCAGCCCGGTGCACTAAGCTCCCGCTATGCGAGGGGTCCGGAGAAGGGCGGACCATAAGGGTCTATTGTGCGTAGCCTTATCATGCATTTCTGCAAGAGGCTATTTCCACAGCTTGACCCCGTGACCTCCCGATCACATGGCAGCAACTTCACCGGTTACGCCAAGGCTTCCCTTCAATTAACCAATCACATAATAAAAAAAAGGTGAAAAGTTAGCAATTCCTTGAAAGGAAATTATAGTGAGAAATTGATATTTTGATACCTCTTCCTCCTCCTAGAACAGAATGAATAGGCCTTTGGCGGCCCAAAAGTTTTGATCTTGGTGCAAGATCATTATCAGAATCAGATGAATAAGAAGCCATGCTTACAGAAATATTGGGAAATATGTGGCTGTAAATCATGTATATTAGCAAATAAGGTTTAAATAAGTCTATTAAGGTACTAAGCTTAGTGGCCAAGAAACTAGGAAAGAGGGAAAGAAAAGAATTTCTTGAGCAAAGAGTTTGCACTTTGCAGCTAGCTTTCCATTCCCGCTACTATACAGAAATCTGTTTAACTTTTGCTACATACTGTTAGTGGCATGCATCTTCTATGCTTTTCGTTTGGCAAACTTTTAGTATCTCTTAATCTTTTAGCTAGCTTTATGTACACACCACATTACCCGGACAATATTCTCACAAATTGCTACACAAGGCTACGTAATATATACTAGCATAGTATTTCTGGTAATTCCAAGCTTCAAATGAAGGACTACTTGGATTCAAGTTTTGTGAGTATTAACTGGTATTATGGTATATCATGCTTCTCCTCATAACCACCTCAATTCTTGGAAACTATCATGAAGCATGAGCCCATTACACTAGCTTCCAACAATTTGAGTTTCTCACTTGAGCTTGCATGTGGCCATGGCTAGGTCAAGACTCAAATTTGAGCAATAATTCTTGATAGGTAGAGTTACTCGGTACATGTATTAGAGGTAGCAAATATCCAATGAAAAGTCGAGGGTGGGCAAACTGGCTCAGCCACCACTATCATAACGAAATTCCACCACAATTGATTAAATTTTAATCGATCGAGTAGTTATTAAAAGTGTCAAAATGTACATTCATCTTTATCTCACCTAATTACATGAGCATGGAAGGTTGGTGACACATTTGTCAGGGAAGAAAGTACCTCCTTCGGAACTAGAGGTGACAATGCTGCTCCATATCATTGCACACAACAAAAAAACAAGAACAACGACAATAACAACGACAATAACAATTACGCATCAATCCTAAGTTAAGAGTTCAGATATGTGAATCCTTATTATCTATGTTGTGTTATAAATCTGTATTGTTGTAATAAACAATTAAATCATTAAACTTTCTAAAATATATAAACAAAACAGAAAGTTAGTAATACTTGTTTAACGAAATAAATTCTGGAAAAACAGTATAGGAATAAATCGAGCCCATTGAATACACAGTGTGTTCTTAAGAAAATTATTCCCTCAAGTACCCGAAGTTCTGGAATATATCTTCCCAGGATAGAATGATTTAACTCACCGGAGTGTTGGTACCAAAAACGCCGGCGAACAGCGAGCCACTCGAAGGCTGTAAAACACACTGGAATTTTTGTGCAGAAGAAGAAGAAGAAGATCAGAAAATTTCGTAAGGAAAGATTCTGGGATTCTGGGATTCAAAGTATATTTATAGAGTTGCTGGCATTGTTTCTGAAAAGGTTTGCAACCTTTCAGAAACAGCCATGGTTGTTGGAACAGGTTGTTTGAAATATTGCGGGAAAACGGATTTAAAATAATCCGGGAAAGAAAACGAGCCTGACCGGACCGGCTCGCGGGTTATTCCGGATTGAATTTTTCATTAATTATTTAATTAATGTATTAAATAATTGAAAGGAATTTTGTCCAAAAAGATTAAATCAATCAATCTTTGACCAAATCCAAATCCAAATCCGAATCCGAAACCAAAGCCGAGCCAAGCGAGCGACGACGACGACAATATGGGACAATGTCCCTTTGCCAAGGAGGAAAACTCAAATATTTCATTTTTCCTCCATTTCTCTTTTACCCTCTTTAAGCTACACAAGCTTAAAATTCCAATTATCCCCCACATGAATGGGGAATGACTATAAAATAAAGGAATGCACGGACGCGTGTGTGTTTTACATGAAAGAATTAATTGCATCTGGATAAGTAGGTTTCCCTTTGAACTTTCCGTAGTGAACTTATATCGAATATACTCGGTCAATCGATAGATTTGATATCTTTGAGCCGTCGAGCTTTGTTGTATACCTAGACAACATAAGTCACAAAATCAATCCTTAACCATCTATGGTTCTCACGGTTGAGTTCATTTCAGCCATGAACACCGCCTGGTTTCATGAGTGCTTAGAGAATGGGCCTTTACTTTCATTCCCCTTGAAGCGGCTTACACTTTACACACTAGGTAATTTTTAAACGTGTAATCCTATAGACACACTATCTGGTCATATCCTGCCAAACTTAGCAAATCATTAAAAAACTTTTAAGCTTTGTTGACTCATCAAAACGCCTTAATGCTTTACCTCGATTTCAGAACATTGTCTTCATCACGAGAATGGGTTGAGTCATTTGACAATGTTGAACTGTCATTCATAACTTTGTTTGATCTCTTTGAACCTAGCTCGTGGGATCTCCAGTCTGCTAGGTAGAGTTACTGCCATGATGACTTGTCCTAGACCTTAACCCTATTCTCTTTGATGATCTTTCAACTGCCACTCTAGATAGGTCTTTTGTAAGTGGATCCGACACGTTATCTCTTGACTTTACGTAGTCAATTGTGATAACACCAC